ATATCATGTTTGATAAGGTGGAGGGTCAGAGAAAAAGAGGAACATTCCCTCCCCTCCCCCCCAGCAAAATGGATTGGCAAAGTGGCAGCATCAATGGGCTCAAGCATGGCAGCAATAGGATTGGGCAGTGTTTCATTCTGTTGTGCATAGGATCACTATGAGTCAGTACTGACTCAATGGCATCTAACAACCACCACAACAAGAGGATGGGCTTCTTGGTGGAAGGAACAGCAGGTGCAAAGGCCCTGAGGTGGAAGCCTGCCTGGTGTGTTGAGAAACCGCAGGAGATGCATGCAGAGGAAGCCCTAACCATTTCTTTATTGTTTTCCAGATTGGCTGGTTCCCTTCCAACTACGTGGAGGAAGATTATTCTGAATACTGCTGAGCCGTGGCACATTGGTGGAGAGAAGACAGAATACTCTGAACCCAGGATGGGCTGGCAACGGGGCCAGGGGCTGTGAAATGTCCCATGGGCTGAGAGTTTGGGATGAACTGTGGAGGGCCAGAATCCAGCTGGCCAGGTTCCCTGAGCTTTGAGTTAAATTTTTAAAAAATTTGCTGTGCTGAAAAAAAACACACAAAAAACAAACCAAATTTAACTTTTTATTGTGAATTGAGTGTAGGTTTACAGAGAAGATCATCAATTTTATGTTCAACAAATCAAACACCTTCAAATCAATGACTGCATTCCCCTCCATGCAATACCAATTCTCCCACGTCCTCCCTGCGGTTCGGTTCCCATTTCCAGTCCACCCACCTCCCTATTCCTTCTCAACTTTGTCCTTAGGTAAATGTTGCCCTTTTGATGTTGAGTGATTGACCTTTCCATGGTGAGCAGATCCTATTAGTGTTGTTGTCCCCCCTTTATAGTTATCTACTGCTTAACTGAAAATTGGGCCACAAAGGTGAGTTCCCTTCCATACCTGAAAGGTGCTTAAGGGCCATAGTCTCAGGTTCTCCCAGTCTCTTTTTGAGTTTGTCCTACATTTTCTCCCACTCTAGTACTCTGTATGGGACCATTTATGGGATCCCTTTTAGGGCAGTTGGTAGTGGTAGCTGGGTGCCATCTAGTTCTTCTGGTCTCAAAGTTGTGATGACTGACGGTCACATGTTCATTGCACTAACTGATTACAAACATCTTCAATCTTCATCACTGTAATTTCTTCCGCACATGGAGAGACCTTAAATATTGCAACTTCACCAAAATAGGATGTAGACCATTGTCTTTGTGGACTATTTTGTATGAGTTGACCGTGATGTCCCCTGAGACTATATGATCCCGAGCCCCCAGACTCAACAACTTGTTGCCTCGAGGTGTTTGGCAATGTTTAATAAGTTCTGATAATTTCACTCCTTGTATGTTCCACCGTTCATACATTCATAGGTGTGTTTCGCGAGCTTCGGTTAATTTATAACACATTGGTATCCTCTTGGGTCCCTTCAACAAGATGGGCTCAAGGCAATGGCTCTTAATAAAGTAATGAATGAAAACTGTAGTGTTGTTTAGAAAGACTCCGAAGGTGGAACAAGGAGAGGGGGGCTGGGACACAGACTAAAACCACTCACAAATCCCTACCTCTTATCTTCATCTCCTTTCCCAGCTATTTATAACCACACCTAAAGACACTACAGAAGTGAAATCCCACACAACAGGAAAGACTTTGCTCCTCATAGAGCCAGGATTAGATACAATGTAACACTGTTTCATTAATTTTTTTCTGTTTCTACTGCCAGCATGTCTACTCCCAGGGCAGAGGAGAATTTCTCTGCAGGGATTCTGAGACTGTAAATCTTTGTGGGAGCAGACAGCCTCACCTTTTTCTGGTGGAGTGACTGTTGGGTTTGAATTGCTGACCATATGGTTAGCAGCCAAATACTTTACCCACTGCTCCACCAAGGATACCCCTCCTTTTTTTTTTTTTTATAATAGAGTTTACTTATTATTTTAACACCCACCCTGCCGCCAAATCCTGTTCATGGTCCTTGGTTCCAAGACCTGGTGATCTGAGCCAGAATCAACTTGATGGTCATACATTTGGTATTGTTATTATTCTATATTATTATTGGGGAACACGATGACTCCATATAATAAGCACTGGACTGTGAACCAAAAGGTCTGCAGTTTGAGCCCACCAGTCATTCGTGGAAAAAAGATGAGACTTTCTGCTTCCCCGAAGATGCCAAGCCTTGGAAACCTTATATAGGGTTGATGTGAGTCGGAAGCAACTCAACTGCACTTAACAACAACATTATTATTATTACAGAAGTCTCTGAATGTTGAAAATGGTTAATGTGCTCAACTACTAGCTTAAAGGTTAGCAGTTCGAGCCCACCCAGGAGCACCAAGGAAGAACGGCGTGGAGATCTGCTTCCACAAGACTATAGCAGTTGAAAACCTTATGGAACACAGTTCCCTGAAATGCGGGGTGTCGTCACTGTGAATCAGAATAAGAGTGTCTGAGTGATGCAAACAATTTACGAGGTTAACTATGAACAAATGTTGGTGGTTAGAATTCACCCATAGCTGCCGCGGAAGAAATGCTGAGATATTTAATAAACTCCACTCTTATCTCATACCTGGTGAGCCAGATCTGGCTCACGAGATGTAATTTGCTGACCCTTGGCAGAGCTCAACACGCATGCTCAAGGCATATGGAGTGAAGGCTGGAAACAGGAGGATTTCTTTGTGGAGGTTGTCAGCTGGGGAGTCGGCTGAGGGAACACTGGGGAGTAAGCACCCCCTAACCTCCAGCCTAGTCAGGAAAGCCTTGGAGAGCACTGGTATGTGATTTGCTGGCTCCGTATACGCCCTCCAGTGTATGTGCTTGACTCCCACTCTCCTCTAGACAAGTGGTATAGTGGCAAACAACATGGGCTGTGGATCCAGACTTCCTGAGTTCAAGTCCTAGCCTTGCTACTTACAAGCTGTGTGACTCTGGGCAGATCACTTAACTGCTCTGTGCCTCAGTTCCCTCATCAAAACCATAACAACCCAAAGAGTGAACTGTAATGCAAACTGAAAAACCAGTTTCCATTGAATCACCTCAGACTCACAGTGACCCCATGTCTGTCAGTAGAACTGTGTTCCATAAGATTTTCAGTGACTGATTTTTTGGAAGTAGATTGCCAGGTCTTTCTTCCAAGGTGCCTCTGGGTAAGCCGAAACCTCCAACATTTCGGTCAGCAGCAGAGTGTGTTAACTGTTTGGACTCCCCAGGGCCTCGTCTCACCAGTATAGACATATCCTTCAAACCCCCGGGTCCAACATCCCCTTCTAGAAACCTTCTCATCTCTTGATGCACCTGAATTCAGCTCTGAGTCCCTCTTCCCCAGCTGTGGGCACATGAGGCTGGGAATATCTGTGTCCAGCAGGACGCAGGGATGAGATCTCGGTGGGTCACTCTGAGCTCAGAGCAGATGTGGGGAAGTGCTTGTTGGGTGAATCCACGGGGTGAAATTGAGCAGCGTGATGATGTTGATCAGCTGGGAAGCCAAGAGCATCAATTGCTCATGCCCATGTGTATATCAACTGGATATATGCTTGTATGGATAAGCTAGGAGGGACATATATACTTACATGCACGCATATACTCTCTCTCCTTACAGCTGCACGTAGGGTCACAGGTATCAGCAGATACTGGGCCACTACAGCTCTTTTAAAAATAAACTTTGAAAAAAAAAAGTTTTTGTTGTGAACTGAGTGCTAGTTTACATGGGAGACCATTGGCTTTACACCATCATTTCATGACAATAATGATAATCTCTGTGCATCATCATTCAACAGTACTTACTTCTATTCCTTCTGGGTTTTTTTGAGGGGGGGGGATGTACACAAAAACACTCAAGAATATATAATTATTTAAACAACCAAAGGGCACATTCTACAGCCTGCCTCCTAGCCGCCAGCACCCACTACCTCTCTTTCCATGAGTCTAGAGTCCTTAGCTGCTCCATCTCTCCATGTCCTCATCTCTGCCTCCGTCTCTGGTGTTGCTGCTTCTCTGGATTGGGTCCTGCATTCTTCTCATGTTCTTCTCCCTTGATGGTCTTAGGGTCCTCTGCTTCTGGACTGTAAGATTACCTACTCCCCCATTTATGTTAGAAAGCTTCTACCTTTACAGTCATGATAACAATTATTAACTATTGAATCATACGAATCTTACCCCATCTCTTTTCACCAGACCCATCTAGACAAGATAGAAACTATTCAGCGGGGATTCTTCCTCCCCCTGCACACTCTGAAACTAAACTTCCTCTTGAAAACTTGTAAGCCAGTCACTTCATGCCTTTATCGCCCCTTCATTTTAGGTACCAATGTCTAAGTTTCCTGTCCCTATCTACCTTGTATACAGAGGGGATAGGATTGATACTTGATGTGAAGACTCCTTCCCTCTCAGTTGGTATTTTGAACTACTACATCCATAAGTATACGTCAAGTTCATCAAATTGTAGCAATTTACACTTGTTTCCTTTATCAAGAAATTTTTTTTTATCTCCCCCTATTCGAGTTCTGATTATCAAGCCATCAAAGGCAGTTCAAATGGCTACTATCTAAAAGTTTGGGCATTCTTGTGTGTCTCCCCTCAGTTCATATCAGCTGGACACTTCACTCTCAGCTCTAGCCCTCTGTGGCTATGTCCTTGTCCATGGGCTAAGGTGTCCCTAGGTTTCACCACACTTTGGACCTAGAAGCTCTTCCTCTTCTCTCTCTCATCTCCAGGTCAATGGTTCAACTTGGCCCATATCTTCATTGCTACCTTTCCCCCTCTTCCACTCACCAGTAGACCATCATGATCACCAGCAAGCTTATATGCCTACTCATGTGTTCCCTTTGATTAAATTAACTTTTAATTGTGAATTGGGTGAAGGTGTACAGAGCAGTTCATCAGTTTTACCTTCAGAAATTCATACACATTTGTTTTATCTTATTGAGTATAATCCACTCAATGTAATATCACTTATCCAGCTTCCTCCTTGTGTTTCCATTCCTCCTTCTTTCCCAACCATTCTGAACTTTGCCCCTGGGTAAATGCTACCCTTTTGATTTCAAATGGTTAGTTGTTCTAAGGCATGCTTACCACACTTGTGTTATTGTTCCTCTTATAGACCTGTCGATTGTTAGAGGGTCAATGAAAAAGAGGAAGACCTTCAACAAGATGCTCTGACACAATAGCGGAAGCAATGGGTTCAAACAGAAACCAAGATCACACAGGGTTGGCAATGTTCTGCTCTGTTTTGAACAGGGTTGCTATGAGTTGGAACTGACTCAATGGCACTTATTAACAGCATTGTTTGGCTGAAAATGGACCCATGGGGGTGAGTTTAGTTCTAGACCTAAAGGTTGACTAAGGGCCATAGTCTTGGAGTAGGGTGAGGATTCCAACA